GGCGTGAAAGAAGCACAAAATCCTCTTCACTGCTTGATCACTGCGTGATGAGTACGAGACATTTTGTCTCATACTGTGAATTTCATCAAAAGGATGATGATCCTGACAGAGTCTGGAGTAAGGAGTTGGTTCAAAGTCATGTTTAAAGTTCACCAACCATTTCTTATGTTCAGAGTTTATTTCTGCATTTGGGTCCTTTACCCTCTTTTCCATGAGTTTACTGAGTCATGACATCCTGGACATTTTTTTTATCTTTAATTTTAAAGTTATGATTTATTGTATATCTGCTGTCATCCACCTTTTTCATTTATCATGGTGAGATGAATATGACTTTCATCATGTTCTTAGGTTCTTAAAAAGCACATTTTTCTTTTTTTTGTTTACCCATGGTTCAATGTGACCTCTGCTCCTCTGCCTGGCAGTGCTAACGAGAGAAGCATGGAGCAGGCTGTCGCTGAGCCCGGCTCACTGCGGAGGCTTATCCTCCTCTCACATGTATCTGTGAAGGAAACACACAACAGCAGCGTGAGAACCAGGAGCAATGGGAGGAAAAGGAGAGAGATAAAAGAGATGAGATTGGGGGTGAGATGGAAGATGGGGGAGGGATTAGACGGAGGGGGAATGAGCGGGGATGAGGACAGATGACACAGAGAGCGGGCGAGCGAGCGAGGGAGGGGGCTGATCTCTCCCAGAAATAATAATATCTCCTCTCCTTCAGAAGCCGCTGTCTAATCATTTTATTCTTTGGGTATCAGAGATGGAGGAGACAGTGTTCTGTCTGTTGGCACACAGCCACACAGCGAACACACAGAGCTTACTGTTTGAGCACAGAGGAGCAGAAATCAGAGAGCTTATTCATGTGGACAATGAGCCTGTTCAGAGTCTCTGGATGACAGGACGTTAGCAGGGGGATAACTCTGTATGCAGATGATGTACTGACGTTACAGTGAGGATATTCATAGACCTGGGCTCTCGTTTTCATAGTTTTAATCATCTATTATGATAAAATACAAGAAAGCACTTGCTTAGATCTTGTTACCCCCCAAAGATACAACCACTGTTGAGATTTTAAAAGACGTTTTGTATCTCGATGATGATTGAGAATTCAGGTGAAGTTCTTCTTAGATTCATGGGTTACGCATCACAATAGAAAATACGTTTTAAGGCATTTGTATTTGTATCTACAAAAGGTACATTTGTTGGGCAGATGGGAGATTCATCATGCTTCAGATAAAAACAACACAACACAACAAAGTTTTTAAAAATACATGAAAACAGACTAAATCAGGAAATGACAGAGTGCTTGACCAAATACCTTCTAAATAGACTACAAAATATCCAATATATACAAACTCATGTGGACCATGGTCCTGTGACAACATGACAGGACATTAGCAGAGGGATAACACTGTATGCAGATGATGCACTGATGTTACAGTGAGGAAGTCTGGTGTTAATTTTCAGGGTTTTAAACCTTAAAGTGATAGTTCTGATTTCATGAAGTGGGGTTGCATGATGTACTTGTCAATAGTATGTTTATTAACCATGGACAATGCCGGTAATGGTCCCTTTAAGGAGAGATTCTGCAGAGTGCAGGCACTGAAGCTAGGCTACACAGCTATGCAGACAGGGATGTTTGCTCCAAGTAATTCAGCTTATTTTAAAGGTCAAAAGGCTTCCCCCAATGATGAGAAAAGTCCATCCTCTCTGTCTTCTGCCTGCTCCACTTTTCAGAAAATGTGTGCTCAAACAGGCCGTTTGGAGATTTTCCCTTCATGACATCACAAAGGGCAGTAGCCCCTCCCCCAGGTGGGTGACACTCCCACAGCTAGGTGTTTGTTCTGCCCTCTGAGTCTGCCTTCTCACCGTAAACAATAGGACATGGAGCGAGAAAGCCCGAGTACTCCCAAGACCTTCCAGAGAGGGGGCGTGTTCAGACACAGCTCATTTACATATTTAAAGGTACAGACACAGAAACAGCCTGTACTGAGCAGGGCTGAAATAGTGTGTTTATAGGTTAATAGGTGTTTATAGACATGATCAAATACAGGATCAGAGTGGATTTAGAACAAGAAACTTCACACACATGTTTTGAGGAGCTCTGAGGCGAGAACATGTGACCTTTAAGAAAAACCAAGCCAAAAACATTGTCACACAAGTATATGGTGTGCAAAGATGTGCTAAAACAAATAGACTTGCTAGCAGAAAAATAAAGAAATGTGACTATTTCATTATAGCAAACATTTACTCTGAGAAATTGCTATAAAGAACTGATTAAATGTCACAGCTGCTTGTTAAACTCAAACTTATGGCCTGTTTTTACTTCCATATCGATGCTGCGGTTTTGCTGCCTCGTATATTTCCAGCGAGCTGTGACTGGACAGAAGCACTAGTTGTTTCTTTTTTGTAAACAAGTCATGTCCTGCTTCTTGAAGTTTCTTGAGTTATTTCCCCGTGTTTACTCTCTGTTTTCCCCCTGTCAGCACGTCTGAGTGTGTCGTCAGCTCGGAGTTACAAGTGAAAAATCATGCAGAGAAGGGCAAGACAGCTGTGGTAGCAGAGCGGGCTAATGAGGTGTGTGTGTTACTTCGTTCCTACTAGAAGTCAACAGTAAAACTCCACACACACTGTCAGTGAGACAGACAGATAGATGGACAGATAGACGGACGGATAGATGGACAGACAGACGGACAGGGATCTTATCTGGGTTCCTATCTGTCTGGCTGAAGAGCTTTTTTAAAATGTGATGTCACTGAATTATTGATAAGCTTTTATTCATGCATTATAGACAGGCAGGGAGAGAGAGAGAGAGTGCAGTCTGGAGCCTGTTTTACAAATATATTGTTATTTTTTCAT